TACGCAGCTCTTGCGTCCAATTCCTGCTTCACGCCGCGCTAACATCTGGAATGTATAGGCCTCGAATCATCTGCTTAGGAGCGTCTTCAACTTCTTCCTTCATCAGTAAACAGAAGGCCGCCATTAGCATAGCACATATGCCGTTTTCAGATGATGATGATAATGATCAAAGTGGACAGACTGAATTCCGGAAAAGGTCTATAGCACCCCTGGAAACACGCTGGGGCCGGACAAATTGCTCTTTAGAGGACTACAAAAAAGCGTCCCGGACGTTTCTATGAGACGCTCTTAAAGGGTCACTCCAGAGATTTCTGAGATGGACTACTTATGGCCGTAACTCGACCTATGTGCTCTAAGCACCCCAAAAATCCAACAGTTACAGTCATGTGCGGCCTATTTTCCTATTAGAAATGTGATCAAGGATAGCGAACCTCAGACCTACAGACGGCACCACCGAGCCCGGCCGAATCTGGTCGAACGACGAACGGCGCTCGTGAGCCAATCGTGAGCGCCGTACGTCATCAGACCAGATTCGACTGGGTTCGGTGGCACCATCTGTAGGTCAGATTTGCGATCCTTGATCAGACTTTTAATAAAGAAATAGGCCGCAGATGACTGTAAGTGTTAGATTTTTGGGGCACTTAGAGCACGTAGATCAAGTTATGGTCATAAATAGGCCATCTCAGAAATCTCTCGGGTGCCCTTTAAGACGTCCTCAGAATGTCCTTGTGTCGTCTGTGTGGATGTTTCCAGGACACCGTCAGGACGTGGTGGGGCCGGACAAATGAACCTGCCGGGGATCATTTGAGGACCTGTAAAGACGTCCTGGGAAGGTCTCCACTTTCACATAGGGACGCCCTTAGGATGTCCTCAGGGCGTGCTTATGTCATCTGTGTGGACGTTTCCAGGACATCCTCACCACGTGGCAGGGCCGGACAAATGGACCTGCCGGGGATCATTTGAGGACCCCGTAAAAACGTCCTCAGGAGGTCTTTACGTCCCCATGTCGACAACCTTAGTATGTCCTCAGCATGTCCTTGCGTTGTCTGGGTCTGCACGATGATCGATTGCACGTAATCCCTCATGTGGTATTAACCTTTTTTAATGTAAAGCGGAATGTCAACCTGCGACACCCCGCACCCTCCGATCACGGCCCGACCAACGGCATCAATGCCCGACAGTTTACGATCTCATCTTGTTGTTACACCACTGATACGCGAACACACGGTCACATCGGCGATAATTCCAGTCTTCTGTTCACAACCCATAACACTGCCATCACGATGTTGCAGCTATGTTGCTGACACGCACAAATACAGAACCACGTTCAACGCCGGTTGCACTCGGCATCGGAAAACAGAACCGAACTCAGGACGGAAGGCAGCCGGCAGCAAAACCTGCCTGTCATGGACGCAGTTCCTGCGGTTTCCATAACGTCGAAAACGTCGACACAGTTCCGCGTGGTTTTGCTACTGTAGTGACTGTAGGACTGTAGTTCCGTGCCGCGCGAGTCGCGCGAGTCCCGCAATCTGGAGACGGCCATCCCCCAGTGTACGTGGCGCTGCTGGCACTGCTCCGGAACTTCGCTGTTTCTAGCGGCTTCGTTTGCTCGTTTGACAAAATTAGTGATAAAAACATCAATGCAACCGAAATGTTCTGCACGTTTAGACCAGAAGACGGAATTACAGGCGGCCTTCGCTGCCGCTGAAGCTCAATCAACTCAACAGCTATTTATTAAACAACGTGCGCGACCTGCTCGCAAAACGAAACCGAAAGAAGATGAGTCGGGAGGGCGAAAGCTTTCTCCCGTCTGCCTGGAGAAGGAGAAAAACGTATCGTTCCTCCACTTTTCTCGTGTCCGCTTGGGGGCGCATCAGTAGAAGGGAGGAAGACGCGCCGTTGCTACTTTTTTCCTCCATCTTTTTCTTAGAGTGACGGATCCCCATGTGGCGGGTTCGAATCCCGGCCGAGGTGCCCGCAATCTGACAGAGGCTAATTGCGGACAAGACGCCGTGTAACCGAGCTTTCGGTTGCACGTCAAAAGATCCCCTGGTGGTCGAAATTAATCCTCAGTCCTCCGCTGGGGCGTGCCAGATGCCCGTCGTTGGTTTGGCACGTGAAACCCCCAAATTTGATTTGATTTGACAATCGTGCATAGCTTATTTCCTCGTTAAAAGCGTGTTCAAGGATCGCGACGCGTCCTTTTTGGGAAAAGTTTTCTTCCAAGTGAAGTGGTCGACGAAGGGCGCTTGTCGGCAAGTTGGAAGCAATGGCTTGGGCCGCGGAGAAAAAGAGGAGGTTTATCCGAATGTGTACCTATCAGACTCTCTTCGATGCGAGTTATAATAAAATCATTCGAAATCTGCGCCTATTGTAGGGCTTTCATCGGTCCACACAATGCAGTCCGGGAGAAAAAAGAGTCCACGTGTTTCTCTATTGCCCCGAGATAAATATGCGGTTTTGTAATATAGGACTTTGTATATGTGAAAATTAACGCATTTTAAACAATATAAGATCATAAACGACCTTTTTCAAAAATGACTTCAGTGTCTCTTTAAGTATTTGTTTGTTTTAGGTTTATACCAAGCTCCGTCTTGTTCATCGCTCCTCAAAAAGAGTCTGTTGACCGGGGCGGGGATCCAGTCCAATCACAAATAAAATAAATTCGTTTCCATAGGAATTCGGCCTTCTTTTGTTCTCGAACCTGAGAAACTCAACCCCAACCAATCACTTCCGTCAATAGATTTATAGTTCTTTTTTTTTTTTCCTTTTTTTTTTTGCTTTTAACTTAAATTATGTTTATACATGAGCACGAGAAACGCAAAACACGACGAGCAAACATTATTTGAACCAAACACTGTTAACCTGGCACTAAAAGTTTTATATAGAGGCATAATTATCTGAGCGAAGTGGCAAGATGATAACTGAGTCAACGAACAAGTCATTAATCTATCAATCCTATGAACAGCAGTATGTAACGTGGACTGTGTGGTTTATTAGTAAAGTAATTGCAATATAATTCACCAGCTTTTCCGAGCACCGGCACAGGTCTGATTTCGGGAGTTTATAAGTACAGACGCGTGCGCCATTATGAAAGCCACGAAGCTGTTTATGGGCACACTGAAATACGCACGAAGTGTTCAAATATTCCCAGAGATCCAGAGTGCTGTAACTAGAAAGCACTCGCGGTAGCCATTTTTCATGCATACCTGAATGCACGTCTCGGTTTTTCATTTTTACAGGTCCCAGGAGGGCTGAAAGCTCATTCGACTGATAAGGTCGAGCTCTGGTTTGCAGCTGCGCAGGCGACAGTTGAATAGATGCCCGTTGACGTGGCAGACGTCGCACGAGTCGCCAATATATGAGGACCTTGAGGTAGACATTTGAGATTGAGCGTATGCCGTATGTTAGAACATGGTAGTAATAATCGTGCGCGCAATGGTGGTTTCCCTAAAGGTCCTTAAGAACCGAAGCTTTTACTTGATACTTAAAAATTCCATCTGCTTTCCTGGTGCTCCGCAGTACACAGCAAAATACCGGCGTCAGTTGGAGCAGTAACGTCGTTGAGCCTGTTTGGAGTGGAGCGTGAAAAAGCTCTTGTCGTGTTCCAACCTCAGCATGTCCTCAACGCCGTTACTACCCGCAATGGAGCAAGTATCTTGTCGAACATTTCCGAATACCCCAAAGACATAAACGAAATGGCGAAACGGGGTTGTGACTGGTCATTGGAAACCTCAGTCGGCTGAGGCGTTGGTCGGCTCGTCAAGTTCGAGCAGCGGCCATTTTGAGCGGCCGACCGTCTCGGACGGGTCGCTGCAAAAAATGCGAGTCCATCTTCAGTTCGTCGATATGGAGCGAATCCCACGGAGCGAAATTTTGCCTCCCTCGCTGATTTCGGAAAGCTCTCCGAATCTACCAGTGGAATTCACCATAAGAGATCTGGAACGTCTACTTTCCCGGAAAACACTTAGGAGAGCCAGTCGCTGTAACCTTCAGGGGGAACTGTGTGAATGACTAGGCCGCAGTGGTGTACCAACTGGTTTTCGAGGGGGGGGGGGGGGGGCAAACCTGATCCCCCCCCCCTTCCCCAGGGCCGGGAAGCGGTGCCCTTGGTATTTTTTCGGCGTCGCCGGCCAGCGTTTACCCTGCCCAGTGGCGGCAGTTTCAGGGGGGGCAAGGCACATGCCTCGCCCCCTCACTCTGAGAACTGGAGGGGGGGGGGGGGGCAAGCGTCCCCCCCCTCGTTGGTACGCCCATGCGAGGCCGTGTCCGGACCTAAAAGTATGTGCAGCGACACTGAGCATGGCGTTAACACCTGAAACGCCCTGCTCAATGTCGCTGTGCAATCTGTTTTTCAGGTCCAAACATATTTACGGTCAATATCCGCCAAGCCCCACCCTTAGATTGCTGCAATTGGCTCCCCAAAATCCTTTACAGGAAAGTAGGAGCACTGAATTTTTCGGGGTGTATACGAATCGTGTACACCCTTCTTTTTAGATAGTACACAGACTTCAAACTACACCCTTACTTGTATGTGAAAGCTAAGGTATAGAGCTCTTAACAGTTAACTAGGCCCTAACGTAATCTGTGAGGCGCTGCTGATTAATATCGTGGAAACTGTGCAGAGCCAGGAAGTCCGTGTGAAACATATATTTTAAAACAAAAAAGTCGAAAACACACTCTAAATTTACTTTTGGAACATCACTTGCACATACTTGCATAATTTACAATAGATATATCAATAACATAAAATAAAAATTGCAGTTTTTTAATAATTTGAGGAGCTATTTTTTATTATTCACGTGGGAATCGTTACAGTATATTGCCAGAAAATAGAAGACGAAGTCTGGAGAGCATAACTATCTCTCGCCAGGCTTCATGTGATCTCCCGGCCTTCATGAATTTTTTTTTTTTTTTTTGTGTGTGTTCTATTATCTTGCTATCTAGTCCTCTCTGTTGCCGACCGGATCATCCCAATACTATACTAGACCCCATTAAACGCGAACTGTTTTATAAATTGTACCATAAAGAAATCTTTCTTTCATTATGTCTAATTACATTGAAAACCTCCACATTGAATACATGTACTTGCGCATTTTTTAAAAGTTCTTGTTTATTACAATTGCGATTTTAAAAAAAAAAAAAACAAGATTCATCGCAGGTTACATGTTAGTTTTCATGTGGCTTATGGAGCCTAAGGAGCTCAACTATTTTGTCAACTTCTCTATTTCCTGGGCAACCTTTGTTTTGAGGTCTCGTCTCAGGATCTTTCCGTTATCGGACTTGGGAAAAGATTTCATGAAGAAAACACCTCCATACAGTTGCTTGAACACTGCTGCTTGACCTTTGAAAGAGAGACCAAGGTTAAACGAAGATGCATAATAATCTAATTAATAACCCGCAAGCTCATGTAACCGGTATTGTGCAAATAAAAAAGCACAAAGACGTTTACGTTTTTTTTCATATGTGGTTTTGAGAATCGGGAAAAGAAGCATGGCAAAAACAAAGCACATTTGCTCCTGCCGTGCTTTGGACAATGTGGGGAGTAAGTTAATTAGTGTTGTCTTTCATAGTCGCCTTTAAATAGAAGTTAACGTAATATAGCCATGTACCCCCGCTAGATAATAGCCGGCTCTAAAATGTTTTCCAGAACCTTTTCGGACACTCTTATTAGTGCCACCAAATTTTTAATTGAATACTTCAAATCCTTAAGATAAAAAAAAAAAAAAAACTATAGCTCTAGCAACCAAAAACGACCCTCGAATATTCAGTGTTCTAATATTCATGGTAAAAACAAAACAGCGAATTTTCTCCTTTTACGAGAGCTTAACATGACTTTTTAAAAGAAATAAATGCTAAAAAACAATAATAATCTAGGCTAAAAAATGTGGCCTCGTTATGACTACCCGCATTTTATAGACGTTTTTTCTTTTTTTTTTACTTTAAATATTTCATTGTGGACATGTAGTTATTTTTGTAGGAGTTTGTGCACACGGTGAAACCAAACCAAATTTGTGCATTATACTTATAATTTAAGCTTTAAAATGTGCAAGTATGACATGCTCATAACCCACCAAAAACAAAATTGAGAAATTGGGAACATATACCCGCAACGAGCTCCTTCAGTTCCGTCGCCACACTGTCGAGGTTTTTCTCGAAGCCGTCTTTGACAACGATGCAGGCTGTTGGAGCCTCGCCATACTTCGAGCTTGGAATCCCTACGACTGCGGCCTCCGCGACAGCCTCGTGGGTGATCAGAAGTTCTTCCAGCTCAGCAGGGACGACGGCATTGTCCATGCATTTTATCATCTGTTTCAATCTCTCAATGACATGGATCCGTCCTTCAGTGTCGTAGTAGCCTAAATCGCCTGAAAAGAAAATTAAATTTCGGCAATATCTACCGCTAATTGTTGAGTGGGCTTGCAATAAAATGACTACAAAAGCTTTTTTTTTTCTTTTGCTATGCGTTTTTTTTTTTTTTTAAATTTGTGTGCATTGCAAATAAAAGTTCTGGTATTCAACATGCAATTCGAACTTACATTTTTGGCCACTATTTGGCAATATTCCATTCGAGTTCGATTCGAGTTATTTCCTTATTCGGACACTTCAAAACGTTTCTTTAATATAAGTTCCCTTTAAAAACAAGTTCTGACTGATAAGTTTAACGCCCCACTGAGTTTGAAGCGATGCCCCACAAGAGAACTAGTCACCTCTCAGCCAACATCGGTGTGGTTAAATCGGCGATTTGCGGCAGGTGTTGTGTATGGTTAGTTGCCACGTGAGGAGTTCAAAAACAAGTCAAAAGTGGTGATAACTAGCATAAATAGGTATTTATTTTCTAACGAACGCTCGCTCCATCGAGCGCATGGCCGGACGTTAAAAGTTGAACAATGACTATCGGTCATACGCATAACACAAAAAAACAGAAGAGCATGCACTACATGACACACGTCAAGAAGGGCAGATAGGTGTCTATAGTAATGCGCCACAGCACGCTTCCATGCGCAAACCTAGCACACGGCGATGGCAACCGAGGTAGGCTCGCAGTGAAATGTGACGTCATGTGAAAACTTCACATATAAATAAAGCCCGCTATACTTTTGTCTACTTGGTTGACTGACCATCAAACGGCAGAGTTTTGCGACTGGCTTTATGGTTAATATTTTCCTTGTGACATGTCCACATATATCACAATACGCATTTAAAGCGCCTGGTCTTAACGGACACACTACACTCTAAGAAATACCTGCTTGTCTACTTACCCGCAAAACACTCGAAGAGCCAATCACTGCGATCTACGAAATCAGATCAGCGAAGGATGAGTCGGAACATTTGTTTAGACCTCAAAATTAAGTCTGCACTGTGGCATTACGCAATGCAAGCATGGCGCTTTGCATTGCGTAATTCCGCAGCGCAGACTCAATTTTTAGGTTTAAACGGATGTTCCGCCTCATCATTCGCTGGGCTGATTACGTAGATCGCAGTGATTGGCTCTTTGAGTGTTTTGCGGGTAAGTAGACGCGCAGGCATTCCTTAGAGTGTATGGGCTGGGGAACATAAAAAAGTGCATCCCCCCAACACGCCACACTCTAAAAAAAACCCGTGCGCCTACTTTCCCCCACAACGCTCGGAGAGCCAATCAGCGCAACTTACGGAGGCAGCTCAGCGAATGGCGATGCCGAAACATATGTTGAGATCAAAAAAAACGCAGTCTAAGCTGTGACATTAAGCAATGCAAAACGTCAAGCTTGCATTGCTTAACGTCACAACTCAGACTGCGTTTTTTGGTCTAAACATATGTTTCTGCATCGTCATTCACTGAACTGCTTCGGTAAGATGCGTTGATTGGCTCTCCGAATGTTGTGCGGGAAAGTAGACGCACAGACTTTTTTTTAGAGTGGCAGTCCGATAACTATACAGGCGGAACAGAGATATTAGGGCTTGATCGAGAATACCGTCATTCTTATGATTTTGAAATTAAAAAAACCACACGAAGATGAGATGAGCGTTGTACCTGTACGGAACCATCCATCGCTGCTCAAGGCTTCAGCAGTAGCTTCGGGACGCCCAGTGTAGCCCTTCATGATGCCTCGGGCGTGAACCGCAATCTCGCCATTCTGATGCGGTCCGAGAGAATCTCCGCTGGTTATGTCTATAACCTGGGGCATAACATTGGGTCATCAATCGCTTTCTTTTAGAATAATATTTACTGAAAGGAACAGCTGCCCCACCGTGACCAAAACGAGTGAAATACTGGTAAAAAGAAAACTCTGATAGTGAATTGTCCGATTGTAGGCGCACACCTAGCTAGTTGAATAAAACTATTTTCTTAGCATGAAAGTTGTATATAGGAGGGATGTAATGCTAAATAAAGTAAACTGAGGTAACTCAATGGCGCGGCACTTCTTTAGACAAGAGGAAACAGGACAAAACATGCGAAGCATTCAGAAAGTAAGTACGCTTCGTGGATTGGTCCCGTAAAAATAGTATACTTCCGAGTAACGCATGAGTAGTGTTCCCTCGTATATGCATTAGCCTCCTGTTTAAGTCGATAGAATAGCCCATCAAACTCCGAAGTTCGGTCTGTGATACCATTTTTGAAAACGACAAATGTCTAATCCTGCAAAGCCTGAAAATTCATCGACACATTTACGAAATATATATAGACTGAACTCAATGAGCGAAATAATGAAGCAAAAACAGGTCCTAATGCTTAAAGCAAAGTCCGAAAGCGCTCATGACGAATCGAAACGCAACAGGCCATCTCTGGGCACAAAATCCTTGGCAAACGAATTGAATGAAAACATCCACGATGTGATGCTTTACAACATCTGCTTTTGCAAAACATGACATGAAATGTTTAAATCGTTTCTTCACAAAATATTTAAAAACACTTCAGAAGTACAAATTGTTTTCAAGATGTTGGCTAAAGTCTCACGCAGCAGACTTCTATTAGGCATGTAAACAAACACTTGGTCCACAATATAGCAAATGCCTTCACATAGAAGGAAATCGCCTCGACGAACCTCGTAAGCCCAATCCTTCCTTAAAGGGGTACGGAAACGAACTTTTCGCTCCTATTTCTTTGTTTAGATACACTCTAAAAAAAAAGGATGTCACCTTACACCCTTTTGTCCCATACAATGCACCCCAAAACTTCAGTTTGACGTACAGCGCACTATAGTCGAACAGACGCCCCCAACTTTTACGAGAGGCTTGATAACGGTGCGATATAACTTATTAAATAGCTTAAGTACGTATCAAAGACCGCAGAATTAAAGAAAACACTGAGGTCTTGCAGTAAGGCCAAGGAAACCCCGTTAATTTCTTTTGTAGTCAGTAACACGTACACTAACTATTTCAATAAGCTGTACCACACGGTTACCAAGCCTCGCGTGAAAATTAGTACCGTCATATCAACGTCAGTGCGCTGTATGTCAAACTGAAGTTTTGGGGTGTAAGAATACACCCCGAAAAAGGGTGTAAGAGGACACCTCTTTTTAGAGTGTAGGGTCAATGTAGAAACACTAGGCTAGACTATTCTTTCTGGGTGCCGGTAGAAAAGTCAAGAAAACTCATTTTAAAACTAATAAACAGATTTCAAGATTGTGCCTGGTGGCAGTCTGTGAAGCTCCGTTGGAATGGCGCCACGTCATCGGCCTCTAAAAAGCAGGGTCAGTTCGCGGCCGTATGGCTCTTTGGTAAAATTACGTTTTCCTGAATGTGACTTGGCGAAGAACGCTAACGAGTCTACTACGTTGTTTTGATTAACTTCCACAATGCTTCCGCTACGAGCATTCCACAACATCAAGATCGCCGTTCTTTGCACACGTTAGTAGGAGCTTTGTTTGAGGATTCGGCGACCTCTGCCAGGTCAACAATACCAAGGTAAGCTTTAATTTTATTGGTGTCTTTTATTAGCTCCCTGGCGGACCAAAGGTAATCGATCTGTGTTTGTTTTTGTTTTAAAGAAATAATTATTTACGTAACGGGACACGCGTGGGACAAAACGTGTCAATCTGGCATTCTATGACGCACATGTCAATGACGCACGAGTCTCTTGGTTTCTCCTCGGGTATATACTTCTTATTCTGGTGTCTAGGATGGTCCAAATGTAAACAACAACAACAACCAGAGCTTCATAGCGCGAAAGTTACATGAACGAAGCTATTATTGAGTTTTAGTAGACCGTGTTTCCCCCTCTAACCCTCCGCTACGAAGAAACGGCCACTGCGCCTGCGTGCCGATGACCTTGGCTGTAGAGTTCCTGGTAGCGGAGGGCCTTAACGGAGGGGGAAACACGGCCTACTAAAACTCGCTATTGAAAGTGTCAAGCAACAGCGTCACTTCCTTCGCACTGCTGCCACACTTTTTGGCGCACGAAAGCATGCGCTTTCAAGGCGAGTCAAACTACTCGGAGAATGTAACAAGAAAAAACTTTTCAAAAAAAAAAAGAAAAAAAGACTGGATTACAGGAGGCGCAACTCTTTCCAACGTTTCAAGAACTTTTCTTCTGCACCTAACGTAGAATAGAAAAATAGAACAAGCAGGTCGGGGAAAAGCACTTTTCTAACGTCACCCCCCCACGGCAGAGCTGATGTTGGCGAAAGCAACCAAGCAGCGGTGTTCACTGCACTCTCCCCCCCCCCCCCCCCCCCCCCCGAAAAAAAATGAAAAAAGGACAAATTCGAAGGGAAAGATTATTAATGTCCCCCGAAGAAGAGCGCAGCGTCCGAGCGTTCTGCATATCGTGCGATGCACAGCAAAAAGGGTTGGCAGTACCCGGTATGCAAAGAATTTTGAAACCATGCAGCCCCGCATTTAGTAGGCATCGAGTGCATGGAATGCAAGAAGTTGGCTCATGAAGAGTGTGTCGGAGCTCCCACAGTGCGTTTCAAGTGTTTTATTGCAAAAACAACGCATATAATGTTTGTTCATATGTGTCTCGTTGTACCCCACAACCAAGACGAGACATTATGCGGCTTTCAGATATTGTAGTTTTGTTTAATGTTTCGCGTGCTCCAGTTAAGTAACACTTACCGAGCAAAGAGTCAATACATCTAAAAATATCCCTATGTTTTTTTTGTTGTTTTTTTCATATTAAAGCAAAAATGGAAATCACCATTGAAACCATTTCTGTCTCATCTTGCCCTACCTCCGCCTACCGGTGTTACAATGTTACATCGAACGTCTGTAAGTTCCTAAAAGCATTACGATACACCGTTCCTCGACTCACATGTATAAGCAAATACGTAGTTTGATTCGGAATTTCTATAGATATTAGTCGTCGAATATCCATAAAATAATTCGTTCGCCGCTTACAGATAAGTTCCTGGTCACTCTATTGCAATAAATATTAAACGGAACACTACACTGTTATGCAGATTTTAAAACTGGCCAAACAAAGAAAACGTATATAATTTGATCAATTTCAGGCATACCTTAAATTTAACGCCGGCAGCAGGAAATACACCATTGTCGAAGGTAATTTGTCCAACAAGTGAGAAGCTCACCAGGCCGAATGTTTCTGTCAGGCCGTAACAATTGAAAAGTGATTCCACGCCGAAGATTTCACGAATCTCCCGTGCAAGCGGAATCGGGGTCATTGAACCACCCACAATAATCCCTCTTACACGAGATACAATTTCCTTGTGTGTTTTAATTTCATTGACAATATCCTGCATCCGGCCCGGAATGCCAATGAACAAAGATACCTGAGAGAGAAAAAAAATGAACACCACATTATACAGTGCCTTTTGGATACTGCGTATAGCATGAATACACATTTTCTGTCCCGAAAAGATAACTCTGTTTTCTAGAAGTTTAACTAAAACAGCACTACGTTAATCTGCATTGGCTTAATACTGATGGGTGAGAGTCTATTCCATGGGTTATAGGTTGGACGGACGAATATTAACTACTTATCGTATTGCAGAACCTAAAAAAAAAAACAATGTTAAGTCACGAATAAATTGTTTGCCCAGAGTGCAGTTAGACACCACTACCACTGGCTCTAACAGATCTGAGGCCAGTAAGGTGTCAATCGTAGAAACGGGCTTTCCCATTGAAGCCCTGCCACTCGCTCATAACAAAATAGAGCCGACACGGAGGCGGCTGCCCTTGCTTATGTGTCTGCTACGGTTAGGGTAGTGTTACAGGTTCGGGAGACGGTAACGCGGATAAACAAATCTTATAAATTAATACAAAGCACACGGATTTTTTCATCAGTTTCTTTTTGTCCATGTTAACGTCTTTCGAAGCCTGAAAACATCTACAAAAGCGCTGGTAAAAATCTAATAAAAAGTTATTAGATTTTTTTTTTTTTTTGCGTTGTAGTATTGCAAACTCACGAGCATTGTGAAAACAAAACCTTTTTTTTAAATTTCGGGCAAATCAATATGGTTTATTTTAAATCAGACTTATTTGATTTAAGTAAGATATAATTAAAATAACATCAGCTAAAAAGGTGCAATTTCTGACATTCGGTGCACTTCTAAAAATGCCTGCCTGATATAAATTTTTATTGTTTGACCATTCCTTGTGAGTGTCCCTGGAAAATAGAAAAACGGTAAACAGACAAATATATTTAGAGTACTGATTTTGGGCGAACTTTTTTTATTATTATTTAAGTCACCGGTGAGATTCAAACCACGACTTAAATCATGTTTTAAATCCCGATTTAAACAAACAGCGTTGATTTTCACGCCCGATTTATCTGTTATAAAAGGTGCGGCTTTTGGATTAAAAAAAAAATTGCATACTGGTATCTGGCAGTCAGCTCTTTTTCGGGGAACACAACTGTTCAGTTCATTGAGTGGCACTTGTTAGTTATTTTTTATTATACAGAACTGTTTGCGAACAAAAATTGTATTTGCATGAAACTGTTTATTCCGAGAGTTTCACGAGCATACCAATGTTTTCAAATCTAAGGGCGAGTTCGGTACTGGTTCTAAGGTGCCTGACATCAAGGTCTGTTGGAAGTTTGTTGTCTTATTGAGCAAAGCAGAGTTTCTGCTAGAGCAATTAGCTCCAGTTCCACAAGTATGAGCTGCTTTTTTTTTCATTGAGCTTAGCTATACTGACCAAATGCTATCCTAGAATAAAATATCGCCGAAAAAAAAAGTCTAACGTTTAGACGTGAAATGAAGTAACGACCATTAGATATAACCAGGTGGTTGTTGTCAAACGAAGCAGGCATATATTGAACATATGGAAACAAACTAACAATACAGTCTACGCAAATAACGTTATAGTGTTTTCTTTTTTTCAGGTGGATTGAACACTGTAATTCGCTTGTTCACTTAAAATATATTTTGTAAGGTTTATTGTAACAAAATATCTGAGTGGAATGCTCACTGAAAGTAAATACTACATAAACAATTAAAAACAATATATAACAAGAGCTGGGAGATTGATCTTACTATAAATTGTTCCTATAAATGTGTTTGATTATTTTAAGAGCCATTCAATGTCAAGGGCATCACAACCTGTACCTAAAAAAGGTTTTTTTTTTTAAGAGAATGTGAACACGGGAGTTATTGCCCTTACATCCAAGTTTTCAAAATTGCTACGGTAAATAAAAAATCACAGCAATATACGGGTATTTTTTTAAAAAAACAATAGCAATTCAATACTTATTATATAGCAAAAGTTGTTTCGTGCAAAAATTTACCATGAAAATGATTCAGTGTCTGCCCCTCTCCGGTAAATTTATGCGGCTTGATACAGGTCAATTATTCGGAGAGATGACCGTTATTCTTAATTTCACCCGATATTTCTCACCTCATGGGTCTTGAGAGTCTCCAGAAATTGTTTGTACGGAATTAAAGGATCGGTTATGATGATTTTTGCTCCAAAAAACATACAAAACATGCCTATTGCAAAACCTGACGCGTGTGTGAAAGGGTTCCAGCAGAGAAAAAACATCCTCTTCAGTGCAGGTTCCAATAGACCTGAAATTCGGAAAAAAACAAACAAACAGGTATAGATAATTTCAAAAATAATCAGGCAGCTGCCTAAAAAATCCAGAAATTCCCGAATTTCTTTTTGAGCGCTTTGTGCAAAGAACAAAAAGCTTGTATCGTTAGGGTGATCCGGTCGGCAGCAGAGACGACAAGACAGAACAAGAGAGAAGATGATGACAGAGCACGGAGAAAAATTTATGGGGCCTGGCCAACAAGTGGAACCTTGCTCGAGATGGTCGTGGGCACCAATGTCCCGTAATAATATTCAATTTCTTTTTTTTTTACAATATAATTTTTCTTTTAATAAACATATTCATAAAACGCGCAATAATCAGATGAACAAACATACGATCAAACAAAAAATTGCGGCACCCAGTTTTGTTTTACCTGCTTAGATCTTTAGACTTGATGTGTTTAACACTTGAGCGCCTTAGGCGCAACGTGTATGATTTCGTTAGATAATTCCTAGAACTACGGTTTCCACTAGGGCTACACAGCGTCATGAAATGTTTTAAGCAAGGTGACATTTACTTATTATGATTCACTTAAAAAAAATAATATTCAGGTGATTACTTTTAACATCTCACAACGCATTCTTGTAAAATAAGTTAGTGTTCGATCATGTCGAAATAAATATTTTTAACGTAAGGCTGCTTTACGCGAAGTATATAATATACGCTTGCGTCTGTGGCCCGGGACTCGAGAAACAATATATTCTTAATTTGCCCGCGTCCGTATACAGAAACATACGGAAACAAACAAACATACAGAAACAAAGAAAAACATTCTGCCGGTATGACATAATGCAATTTGTGTCTCGTAAAAATGGGTGAGATTCCACCAACACTTTGGTCAGCGCGTTTACCTGAAGGAGTAAAACGCGGCACAGTAGGCCTTGTGCGATATTTCCACGCCCTTCGGGAGACCCACCGAGCCTGACGTGTAGAGTATAGCCACAACCTCTTCCTTGTTGTCAACAGGTTCGTGGGGCGTGAATAAGGCATCTGACAGTTTTTGAAAATGGAGAACATCGATGAAACCGGGTGCGCTTCCCACGCAGAACAATGCCTGCGAATCAAAGTATAATTTCATTTTTCGATCAGCTGCTGTACTCGTTGAACGATGGAAGAAAAGAATACATGCATATCGCTGATTCCAAAAGAGATGTAAAGCGTTAACAATTGCGATAGTTTCTCACTCCTGGGATAAAATGATGATTGCACTTTTCTTTTAATGTGCTAAGGTTATTTTTTAATATATGTTTTTAATTGGTAGTGTGTCCAATCAGCAGCGCCTAGAATAATGAAAGTTCGGGCACTATAACATTTTGCCGTCATTACAGCAAGGTCATGCACAAATTCAGACAGGTCACGAGTGCTGCGTCATGTTGAGCAGGGTTTCGTTTCCAGTCTATCCGTGTGAAGGACGCGTCAGGTCAGTGCCCAAATGCCGAGTTGACACAACTTGGGTATGATGACGTCATGAGGGGGTAGAAGAGGCTGTTCACGGGCTTTGATTATTTTAGGTGGGGTTGGTTGCATGGCAGCACCTCTTGATTGAACCTCTCGCTAAAGCGCAGTTAGCAAAGCTTATCCCTCTACGATAGAAATGAATATACATTGACACTGGCACTCTCACGCAAAGAAGAAACTACGATTCACTTAACTGCTGGAAACACAGTGGTAAACTTTCGTTTTTTTTTTTTTTCTGGTGCAATTGAAAGAAAAATTACATAAAATCTAAAAGTTTACTCTAAAAAACAGAATAATAACATAATTTTTATAGCCTGACCAACTCTTAATCCGATGAATAGATAACAATTCCTCACCTTAATGTTTGATGCTATTTCGATCTTGGCAGCATTTGGTGCGTTTTCTTGGTCAGTTAGTAGGAAAGTGCACTGGCTGTCTTCAATCGTGTACACCAATTCCCCTATAAGAATGACGTAATAATAGGTTCACTTTTATTTAAATGCTGCAATTTTACTCCTCGATTGAAATGAAAGCGTTGAGAGCACTCACTTGCCACGTAGGCCGGCTTTGCCATGACAAGCGTACCGCCCGCGAACACAACCCCAAAGGTTGCTGCTACAGTCTCAACTGCGTTGCCAACATACGCGCACACCCTGGACCCCGGTTTCACACAGTGTCGTTGATAACCTACAGCATATTTGCGTATCTTTTCCAACAGCTGAGAGGCGGTCAAGCTTTGATGGGTGTCAACCTAGAAGAAAGAGAAGGGAAAGTGTTTCGAGATATAACCGGTCTCATGGCGCGAAAGAAAAACACTTTACATAACTTCGGCCTCCTCAGTTTTGTGTATTAATTTTACACACAAAAATAAAAAAAAACTTCCGCGTCTAGAAACTATTATGTAAACTGAGTGTCACCAGATTATAGTTGTGTGAAGTAACTATTATTTTTCTTGGTAACTTTGAACCTATACATAATCATTTAAAGTGCTTATTCGCTCTTTCTGAAGGGGCGACTGCGAATTATTCAATGTAACCGGTTTGCGACGTAATTGTTGGATATCGGCAATCGACGCAGATCTAGAGGAATTGCATAACCTGCTACTGATTGAAAGCCAGGAATTGCACTCATAGTTTAGGAGCGACGGAGCTACGCTTCCGCTACATTCGACGAGAGACTGAGTTTTGGGCTGAGAAAACTGCTGAGAAAAACACTTTTTTTCTCTCAAACACCCGGTGGTTATTAATGCTTCCCTTAATTTATGTACGTCTCCAACCCCCCCCCCTTTTTTTTTTTTGCATATTAAAACTTTTATTTTGATTTGTGTACTATATTGAGTTTAGTGGTTTTTCGGGTACAAATTCTGAGCCATATAAGCGCGTTCCCCACTCGCACTGGCACACTTTCAGCTCGTGCTGGAATCGCTCTAAAACAGATGACCTTGAGATTTTGATTAATCAGTCGAAAGCCAGCCGGTGTCCTTCCCCGCCCTCGGCGGGGCCCTCGAGACTCCGCTGTTATTGGGTCTCCCTCTAGAACGCGTCTCAAACACGGTCGCGACCACGACTGCTGCAGCAGCTGCAGGTTTATCCCGACGGCGACGAGGCCAGATCATCGGCACCACCGGCGTTCGAGGCCCGACCTCTTGGCTTCCGCCGCATGGACTATACAACAGCCTCTCTCGGACCACCACCTCGCTAACACCGGCCACCTCAAAAATAGTACTATACGTAATGCCATAGCCTCCTATATACTGGCAAAGCCTGGCAGATCGCCACGAGAAGCGGCCGCCGAAATAAAAAAGGTGGAGCGGCAGACAACGGATGAGAGGAGAGCCACGTGACTGGCGCCCCGCTGCGGCGAGGACTCTGAAACACAGTTCTCCCGTGCGAACAAGTGTGTTTCGGGTCCTCGCCGCTGCCAAAGCTGTGCGCTGACGTCCCGGTTCCTCGAGAAATGGCTCTTTGATGCTCTGTGCTACGAGATCCTCGCGCTCCCAATCTGCGATCGGGCACTCAATGGCTCCGTCGTCGAACTTCCAGGCTTTGTGAGTATAGAGGAGGCTATGGTAATGCTATATAAGGCTACTTTTTATTACTTTGGAAGTACCACTAAAGTAACGCTACTGAATGTCGCCGGAATTTCCGTATCTAGTCAAGAGACGTGGAGTTACGTTCGTAGAGCAGCGCCGCATAATGTACCGATCGACGACGCCTGTTCTCTCACGTAGGAAAATGCTGCAAAAGGCTTGACCTAGCACTGTGGTATTTATCTCAGCGCAACGCAGTAGGCAGATATTAAAAATGCGCTCATTGCACAATAATCAAAAGCGTAATAAAAACCAGATTAAATCAAGGAGACACGCATCACCATAACAACGGCGGTCACTTTGGACCTGTTATCTCCACAACTATACACTGCAGTGAATATATATAAAGCCATACTCACAGCAATTATCTTGGTCGAGAGTTTCTTCAATCGCTGCTCTATAAATTGGGAGGCGTAGCTGTTTGCTACGTCGAAATCCGGGAGAGTTGAATGTATCACTCGGTTTACAATCCTGGCTGTCATTTTGGCGCGGTTGTTTCTAACGGTCTAAAAGGGACAAAATGCATACTCGTTTAAAAAAAAAAAAAGAAACGCGGTAAACAGTAAAAGGTTATTGGCTGTGTTTATTAAGACTCAGATGCAGTGATTTTACAGGAGCTCTCCTTAGACTTTTACGTTGGCGGAATGACGCCATCACCAAGACCGCAATTTTCAATGGACGCAGTTGCCATTTCTGGTTTTGAAAGGCATGTAAATTTACGCGGGCAATAAATACACTACAAGAATAAATGCGAGTTAAGGAGTGCGGTTCTTTTTAGGAAATGGCAATTTTTACCGACATTCACGAAATAGCTCGGACCAACTTACGCCACTCGGCTTCTGCGCCTCTTTCTACGCCCAGTGTGAAACACACCTCTACACCATTTGTGCCGGTCATAAATGGGGTACATGTGTCTGATGCGCACATGAACGCAGTATCAATATGTGTGAGCTACGCGCATGTCGTATTGCACATCATTGCCAACAGTTGTTGACATACATACGAGGAAACCCGCAGGTGTGTGAGCGATAAGTCCGATTAACGAGCACACCTCGACTTTTTTACGCCTGCTACATTTTCAGTTTTATTTCTGCTCCAGTCTTTTTATCTGTCTAGTCTCAGCCGGGAGCCATGGCGGGATACTATAAAAGAGCACTCTCGGGGTGATTTCTAGCAAAACCTTGGCCCAAAACACCATCTACACATCGAGGCAAACAATGCCTTCTCGCGGTTTACATCGAACTTGTTGCTTCCAATACCACGACCACTTTAAATTTGACTCTACACTCCAAACAAAGCACGTGCGTCTACTTTCCCGCACAACACTCGGAGAGTCAGTCACCGCAACTTACGGAGGCAGCTCAGCGAATGACGATGCCGAAACATATGTCTAGACCAAAAAACGTGGTTGGAGTTGTGACATTAAGAAACGCAAAACGCCACGCCTTGCATTGCTTAATATCACAACTCGGACTGCGCTTTTTGGTCTAAGCATATGTTTCGGCATCGTCTTTCGCTGAGCTGCCTCCGTAACTTGCGGTGACTGGCTCTCCGAGTGTTGTGCGGGAAAGTAGACGCACGGGTCTTTTCTTGGAGTGTATGGCTACCAACAGAGGAGCGATTCACAAGCATCTAATTACCGCACCCCAGCCAATCCGGTTGCGGTATCATCCGATAAAAGCTCAGTAGAGCAAATACTGAAGCCTTAAAGGTGTTGTACTCCGGCGATTTTTTTAGCAACCCCGACCGTTCGGCTGGGCTATGGGGCGCGCTGGAGCGACACCAGTGGCGCCGCGCCGTGGCCCAAATTCGCCCTACTTAGCCCTTCGCTCGTCCCATCGCGCTGCCAGTTGCAATGGCGGGCACCGCTTTGAAGCTTTCTGTCCGTTAAAATACTGTGATAATTTGTTGTTTTTTTTAGGGAGGCGAACCTGCGCAAAGAAAGGTAGCCTGTATTTCAGGTCTCCGGGGTGGAGCAAATAATCCAGGCATAGAAATATTTGTCGTTTGCTAAGTGTGTCTCGCAAGTGCAACACAGAGTCGACTGTAACATCCACCTCGAGATAAATGCTCTTTTTTACTTTATGGCTTCGCTAGCTCTTCAAAGACAGGGCTACTCGGACAAAGAGGAGGATGCCATATTGTTTAAATCGTCTTTTCGCGCACAGCTGCGCTGTCGCATACACACCTTGAACTGAGGTCAGTTCTCGGAGTTACCGTCTGATGGAAGCATGCCGCGCCTGTTCTAATTCATCCAAATGAAGTTAATGACGAGGCACGTGCAGCCTGATCGCAACACTGGGTCAAGTTCTAATAAAAAACCAAAACGGTACGTCAATAAGGCCTCCGCTTTTATTTTGAGCGGGTCCAAAAAAATATATATATATATTACTATACGCCGCAACACCTAGCTGTGTTTGCGCGCATCTGTCGCTGCCGTCAAAGCGGTAGAGCCGCAATTCATGTACATGCGTCAATAACCCACTTTTAATTTTATTAGTAAAGAGAGGGATCTCCAATCGACTTGCATTTGCGTTGTAAAGCGTCCCATTTTTTTAACTTATTTTTATGTGACCGCAGAATGATAATTTTGAACACTGTTGCGGTTCACAACAAACAAAATATTTTGCGTCACTATTTGTTTTGTTTGCCGTTTAGATAAATTAAACTTGACATATCTTGAGTCTCTGTGCCAGGAGAGGATCGTCAATATTCCTTCACACTCTCTCTCTGCAAGAAGAGATTACTCAATTTTAAATTTCAGTCATGAATGCTTAGTTACTGGCCTTTGTCACGTGCCCTGTCCTCGTCCTCTTTATTTTGCTTTCAATTTATACATCTAACATTGCCAACACACACTGACTGGTTGACCGATGAATGTCCGGGTTTGATGTTTTACAGTTACTTGGAAAGTGATTATGCATGTTGTAGGTTAACTACATCATTTTAATGATATAAAAAGGAACCGAGTACGGCCGTCGGTGTAAGTCTCTTTTCAACTATGCGCTCAAGTCAGTGCTCAATACGGGCTATGATTATCTGCCTCATTGGACCTCATGTTTTTCGCTGCTTACTCGCCTTCTCTTGTGAGCATCAGGGAACAAAATTGATAGAAATCACTGTGAGAGCGCAGGCGAGCCGGTGTGTATATTAACAACTTGGATGAATTGCCAGAAACTGGGGTGAAAAAACTAAAAATATTAACCGTGTATGAGAAATACCCCTTTCTGTCCACGGTTGATGTTTCTAGTTTTCTCGACCCAGTCTTTTCTAGTTTTCTCGACCCAGTATCCACAAATTTATCAAAATGAAAAATTGACCAGTAAGCAAGGTGAGCTGGGTTCTCAAATTTAAACTGGTTTTAAAAATAGTAACTGCGCAATCGGGTTTATTTTGTCGACACCCACGGGGTACCATCCTAGCTATTACATTAGGAACATCTAACATCGCCAACACATTCAAATTGGTCAACCCAGGGATGTTCTAGTGTCTAATTCTGTGACGCCCTTAGGAAGTAATTATGCCTGTTGTGGGCTAACTACATCATTTTATTATTATATAAAAAACTAGAATACAGCCGTCAATTTCTGTTCAATTATGCGTGCAAGTCAGTACGCAATAGGGGCTACGATTATCTGCCCAATTTTTCCCCAAGTCTTTTGCCGCTTACCCGCTTTCTCTTGTTAACATCGGGGAACACAATGGGTGGGTAAGCAAAGCGAGCTTGGTTCTCAAATTTAAAGTATTTTATAAAATAACTGGTAACTGCATATTCAGGTTTCGTTTGTATACAGCCATGAGGAACCATCGTCATCGTAGGTATTACATACTTATCGTAGAAAGTCAGTGTCGGATTGCAGGCCCCACGGGCGCCAGCTCATACCGCCCCCAAGCAACGCAAAACTCCTGCATGCTCTCGCGTGTGACCTACGAAAAGTCCCTATTAATGTGACAAGCAAGCGTAGCTGCATTACTGAATCACGCGACAAGATAGAGAAACAATAATTCAATTTGTCCTCCGCACAGCTGGCGATTCATGCTTCTGGCGATATTTCTTGAATCACCTCCCAGGAACCAAACAAACCTTTTCGGGAGACAGATATACATTTCTGTTTAATGTGATGCTGTAGAATTTGAATACACTTTGCATTCGGTACATTGCTTTACGAAGCGCTAGGCCAGCACGACAAGCGCACCAGCCTCCCACGTCGTCTGCTCCCGTACTTCTAACAAGTATCGGCGCGCCTCGCCAGGGGAAGAGTGGCGCTGCGTGAGCGCGGCGAAACTTCAGCCGCACAGCCCTATATTTCCAAAATCGTCATCTTTTACTCTTTCTAGTATGCTATTTAGTATCGCAAAATTCAAAATAGTTATTGTGAAATCGGTAAATGAAAATGACACCAAACAAAGATTCGGATATACCCGCGCTTTTCATTGCAGTGACGTCACGGGATGGCAGGCTTGCGGTTTGAGCGGGCTGTCTAAAAATGAACTATGCCAAGCATTTGTTTCGTGCTGCTCCGCGGGAGCTGAAGCGACCTTCCAAAACATTCATTTGACATCATGAAACTGTTCGTGATCAGTTGGGAACAAAGTCTACAGCCCAAAGAGTGAGCCCCTGCCTTCCCATGACGTCACTTTTTCAAATGTTGTCAGTAAAGCGAACGTCAAGCAGCCCGCGACGTAGGCAGTTCGACGTTTTTGGAGGATTATTTCCGTTGAGATCATCTCCAAAAAGCCTTCCCGGCTATGGTCCGGGTCTTCGCGAAAAATAGCTGATAGGGTCGGGTCCGGGGTGTGGAAACGGAATAGAAACGTTCGTTCATTTGCTTTGAAGCTGGGCAAAAATGCAGCCCTCCTCCACATGTGTCCCAAAACATGCCGGATTCCGTCCGATTGTTGTGAAGTGACTGTATATTGGAAATGCTGTGTTATCTGAGACCTTTCTTAAATCCTGTGCGGATCACGCGGCACCGTGGGGTACGTACAATATATATTGTTCGATTGATGAGACCTGTTGAATCTCATGTTGTGGGTGGGGAATATGCTTATAGTTCGGGTATCCTGTGTGGTCAAATATTTTCGACGGTTAAAACCTTTGTAGAATGACACGGCTGAGTGTATAATGCCGTAATAAGATCAACATAATATGAAACAAATATTCCAGTTGCATTTGTTCTGTCGCGCACGGACTTACCTAAACAGCTTTCTTTTTTTTTCTTTTTTTTTCTCAAAAATAGTACAATACATTTTTAAAAACCCCGAGAAATTCTATTCGCCATAGAACACAAAATAATAAAATAGAAAGCGGCAATTTAGCCTCCACCAGCGTCCGGAAGTGCGCCTACGCAGGCTGCCACAGCCCACTGACTAGAAAACCCACAGCCCAGCGCAGTCGGGCAACACTCGACGTACCCTCTCAAAACCAGGGACGCGCGCTGTAAATCGCATCGTTCGAGACTGCCGCTGGAAAAAAAAAAGT